TTGGTGTGAGCTTTTAATTTGGAGACTCGTGATTTCTATTTGGGAAAATTCCCAGACAGCGTGTCTTTGGTTTTCTACTTGTACCTCTGTCCTCTTTTTCTGGAATGTCTGCTATATATGTGTGGAATTTCTCAAATCATCCTCCAGTATCCTAACTTTTCTTTCATATTTTTAATCTCTTTATTTTCTATGTTGCCATCTGGACTAATTCCTCAGCAATCTTTGGCATTTGGTTATTTTCTTGTTTTATTGTCTCTGGTCAATAGTTTATCATTGTTTTGAATTTTTTATTTCAGTGAACCAATTTTTCATTTTCAGCATTTATAATTTAAAAAAATAAACCCACCTGTTCAAACCTCTTATATTTTTATAAAATTAAAGACGTTTTCATATAAAATATATCATACATAGTATCTACATATGTATATGATTTAAATAATAATAAAACCAGTCAATGTATTTGTCATTCAGCATAAAAATACAGCATTAGCAATGTCTTTCTCCTAGTCAAATAACCTTCCCTGTGCTCACTCAGAGGTAACCTCTGTCTTGATTTTTATTTGATTATTCCTTTGCTTTTCTTTATGTTTACCACATAGCTACATTTTTAAACTTTATTTCCAATCATTCAATGACTTGCTTTTTTGTCTACTATTATGTTTATGTTAATTCATCTGTGTCGTGTTGTGTACCCATAATTCACTTGCTTGCACTGTTATATACATTGTTTATTATGTGAATGTATCATGATGTATTTAACTAGTCTCTTGATGACAAAGACAAAAAGATACGCATATTTGGGTTGTTAGTAGCTTTTAGTTCATTTTAGCTTGTATGTTGTTGCTGTTGTTAAGCACCTTGGAGTCAATTCCGTCTCATAGTGACCCTGCACAGGGTTTCCGAGGCTGTAAATCTTTATGGAAGCAGAAAGCCTCATCTTTCTATTATATATCCTTTTATTCTCAACCGTTCTGTGCCCTTATGTTTTTGATGTGTCTCTTATAAGCGTCATAGTAGTTGTTATTCCGACCCGTAACGACCCTGTATAGGGTTTCCGATGAGCAGCTGTTGCTGCAGCTTAATGCACTGTACTGCAAAATCAGTTCGAACTGCAAGGTAGGCGGATCCAGCTCACCAGCTGCTCCTCAGAAACCCTATAAAAGTCGCTATGTGTCAAAACCAACTCAATGGGACTTAACAACAACTTCTAACTAAAGTGTTATCTACCTGTATTGTTTGTTTTGTTTAAGTCTTGAAGTCTGATTGGAGAGATTTGTTTTGTACTTCATGAGTGATAGAAAGGACAGAAAATACAATGCAGGTCAGTGCATATTGGAGAACAGACAGGAGGATTTCTTCTTACGTAAGCAATACCTTTCGGAGTCCTGGTGTGGTGCTGTAGGATAAGCACTAGATTACTAACCAAAAGGCTGGCAGTTCCAACCCACCAACCACTCCTTGGAAACCCTATAAAGGCTTGCTGTGAGTGGGAACCAACTCAGCAGCACTTAACAATATCAAGTACAACCTTAAAAGACACCAAGAAAACCAACAAAGTAAAATCACCTCATAGAGGGAAAAAGTAACAAATGTTCAGGGATGCCAGGTGTAAGAAAATATGTTCAACTTTAAAGCTTGTTGAATATCAGTTCGTATTTGACAGTTCAGAAGACTCATTAAAATCTTGTCTTGCTATTGCATAACATCTGTATGATTCAGTCTGTTAATTGATCTTCCTTGATCAGAAGTGAGACTTACCCTGTGATCATAAGCATGAGCCTTTGAGGTAGCTGTCATTGTCATCTATCATTTACAGGTGACAAGACTGAGCCCCTGTGATCAAGTCAGCTCCCAAATCCTGCAGAGCTAGGATTCCAACCCAGTGTCCTGACCCCACATCCTGCATTCATGCCACAGTTCCACACCGATGCCAGGGTAAACATCAGTGTTCATGACTGCAGATTTATTACGTTGGGCACAAATAAGAGAAACCAGTTTTACCCTGAGTTGTAGCTCTTCACATCTGCAGTCTGGTGTTCATTTGTCCTAAAACATTAACATTTTTAGTATACCCACTTTTTTATGCAGTGTCTCTCTCATTTTTCTTTTTCAATAACTTGTTGTAGCTCAGTGGTTGAAGTAGTCTAGAGCTGCTAAAAGGTTGGTAGTTCAAACCTACCAGCTGCTCCTCCAGAGAAAAATGTGGCAGTATGCTTCGTCAAGATTTACAACCTTGAGCACCCTATAGGGTGGTTCTACCCTCTCCTATGAGGCCACTGAGTCAGAATCGATTCCATGGCAATGGAAGAAGGGTTTTACCAATATTATTAGGTCGTGTTTAAAGGATGATCTCTTGGTCTTATTGCTTATCACTACTACTGCATGAAGAATATTGAAAGTGATGCCATTAACATCGCTTAGTATCATTATCTCTATTGATGTTCCTTTAAATATGTGTCAGTTGCAGGTAGAAAGTACAAATCTGTTGAGTGGCCTGAGAGATATGAGGGAAAGCCCAACAGTCCTAGACAGCAGAGGGTCTGGTTTGTGACTAGAACGATCAAGTTTGTAGACATGGAATGGAGTGAGGGGAAGGATTGTCCTCATATATGCTCAAACTTTCTAAGATTTTGCTGTTATCTAACTAATCTAAACCCAGGATCTGTGAAGCAGACAGACCTGTGCAAGAGAGTGGGGAACATGATTGAGATAGTCCACTGGAGATGGAATAGAAAGATGGTTAAGTTAAGGTTGATCCCAGAAACAGAGTGCCATGAGCATGAAGATCCTGCAGAGAGGTTAACTGATGACATATTGTGAGCACAGGCAGCCCCAGGGAAGTAGTTGTTAAATGCTGTAGAGTCGGTTCCTACTCATAGCAACTATGCATAGGGTTTCCAAGGAGCAGCTGGCAGGTTTGAACCATCGACCCTGGGGTTATGATCCAGTGCCTATCCTATAGCACCACAGAAGAGTCATTATATCTTTTGCCTTAAAGGAAAATGTTTTTGTTTGTTTGTTTGTTTTTTTACAAAGATTTTATGTATTTATGACCTATGTTTTACATATTATTTTATTATATAAATTTAGTAATTTAATTTATTATATAAATTATTTTACATACACCTTCCCATGTATTCATATAGCCCAATAATTTTTTTTCATCCATTGCATTAGTGTTTGTTTAAACATTTCATACATTGCATGGTTTGTTTATTATTTATTGATCATGCTGTTGTTGTTAAGTGCCGTTGAGTCGATTCCCACCCACAGCGATCCTGTATAGGGTTTCCCAGGAGCAGCTGGTGAGCTTGAACTGCCGACCTTGCAGTTCAAACGCTTTGCAGTCTGGCACATTAACCTACAGCGCCACACCAGTTATTTCCAGTTTTTCTTATCATAAATGTTAGATGATATTGAATTGCCTTAATTCATGGCAACCTCATGTACAACAGAAGTAAATGTTGCCTTATCTTGCACCATTTTCACTATTATTAGTAGGCTCATATGTATCTTAAGAGTCTTCCAACCTAGGAGGCTCATCTTCCAAAACTATATTGGTTAATCTTCTGTTGTAATCTATTGGTTTTCATTGGTTCATTTTTGGAAGTAGATCAGCAGGCCATTCTGCATACTCTGTCTTAGTCTAGAAGCTTCACTGAAACTTAACCATCATGAATGATCTTACTAGTATTTGAAATACTGGTGGCATTACACTAACACACAAATCAGCACAGTACTGCAAAATGACAGGTGGTGGATAGTATGAATAGGACAAATAAAACTATATTTGTACAAAGAGTTTCATTCTTTCAGTCCTAGTCCCAAACTTATAATTACTGGGTCATTATATGAGCAGTCCTACATGTTTTTTTTTAAATGAAGGGCTTCAGAAACTTTATAGAAAAATTTCATTATCTTTTAATTGCATATTGTTAGGAATTTTTTGAAACTCATTCATATTGTCAAGTTGTTCTTTGGAAAGAGCCATCAGCCTCACCAATAGTGGGTTTTATGTTCTTTGTAATTTTTTTCACATTTTATCAATATGAGGCATTACCTCATAGCTTTTTTTATTTTGCTGAGCTAAAACAATGTACCAAATCTCTGATTGCTATTTGTATTTCTTATGGGAACATTATTATTATCCTTTGCCTATTTGTGCCATCGAGATTTGACTGTTCACCTTCTAGCTTTATACAGTTTTAAAATGTGTTTAATAGTTAATTTTTTCTCTAGTTTGTTTTACTCGTATATGTTGACTCTTAAGCCAATAAAAATATATCAGAAAATGCCATATAAATGCAATTGTATTTTCCCCATCGTTGATTGTACACAATTTGCAAAGGAGTCAGGTTAGAGCTGTTTAGGGCAAGGGCAGGTGCTGCCCCAGGGGTTCCATCACACCATAGGCAAACAAACCAGGGTCCTGGCAGGCCACCTGTCTCTAATGCCTGGGATGGGAGATGGAGTAAAGATGTGGGAGGTGGTAATGGAAAAATAATAATTGATGTTAAATTTGTCAAGGCATACTAAGAAATGGGCTAGAAATCAAAAGTTAGGTAAGTATGGGATGAAAATATCTTTTCCCTGGCTGTCCTGAGCTTCCCTAGCTTCCTGCCTTCATCTTCAGGGAAAAAAGTGACAGAATTCATGTGGTGAATTCCAGTTACCTCAGACTACAAACTGTGGTTCCCTGTTCTTTAACCAGCAGCAAACCCATGGAAGAGATGAAAATTGTTTACGGTGAATGCCATTTAAGAACCAGGGCTCATATCAAGCTTTTCACCTCTCCTGTCTTCAGAGTAGAGCAGATATGCAGTGTGTGTGTGTGTGTAAAAACATCTTCTCTTACAATCTTTCTGCAAGAAAAAGTCTGTTGACTTATGTGGTCCAGGGAATTGAAATCGCTTTGTGTGTGGGCAGGGGAGGGTATCTCCCTCTAAAATGTGTTTTTCAATTTGAATAAAATTCACTGACTTTTTTTTTTTTTTCCCCAGTCGCCAGAGAATTCAGAGGGCAAAGATGGATCCAAAGTAACTGAACGTGAGGTAAGTATATCTTTGACATCCTGTATTATTTCAATTGAAAATTTAATTATGGTTATGATTATTTCCATCTGAATGAATACTGTTCTAAGCAAGGTTGTTGAAACTACATAAACCAGAGATAAAAATGTCACTGTGTAGTGTTTGCTTCTTCTGGGTATGTTTCAGTTGGATACACTGATGGGGCATTTTCCACTTACTCTATGTTGTTTATGTTTCTACCTGTCAGTCCCTGGGACTGTCAAAGTAGATGCTGAGAATTCCTTCTGGGCAAAGAGTGAGGTAATAGGTAAATTCATCAAGGAGAACAAAGTCTGTCTTTCACAGCAAGAAAATGAAAGTCTGTTGATTTCAGAAATTCATTGCTTCAGTGAGCGAACTATAAATTACCTTTTGGGCTCTGAATATTTTTCTGAAAGGAGTCATTTCTAAAGTCAAAAACTGTGGCAGGATGCAGAAAGTGTCAAAATATTAATTTTTTTAATCAGGAAAACTGAAGATTTAGGTTTATTAATTAAACAATAATTCGAAGTAGGGAAGCATTAAAATATAGAAGCCTCAAAAAAGCTATGAACTTAAAAGAGATGCTTGTGTTTGACCATCCATGGTAGCATTCACAAACTTGCAAAAGATAAACGTAAAGCAGCAAATGACATGGTAACCACTGCCATCCATTCTTACACAGAATTTTATAATATGTGGGAAAACTACAGCTCTTACCCTTGAACTTCTAGTAAAAGGATGACGCACATCATGGTTAATAATTCAGAGAAGCTTGTCATGATACCAGTACCCCCCAAACATGATTTGTGCTAAATGGAAAATTTTCAACAGACTCAATAACCAAGTCTTCTCTGTCCATTCACTCAATGTTCAGTGTCTGACAGAGTTTAGGAGATGAAGTTCGTGATACTCTCCTCAGACTGATAAAACCAATGTTAGAACCAAACAAAATTAAAATAATAAATGAATTTTCATAAAAAACAGCAAAATATAATTTATAGGACAGTTAGATAAAACGTATAGATAAAATTTACCATAATGTTTTTCAGTTTGGGCACAGAAAATCATTTGGAAGACACAGTGCTTAAACTTATGTGCCAGGAAATCTAGAAACTGATGGATAGCGAAAACATCCTTCCCAATCTCTTCAGTAAAAGCAAATCAAGCTGGTTAAAATATACGAAAAGGATGTGATGTGTGTTTATTGATACAACTGTCTTATACATGTTGTCTTTATACAGGATTCCTAACAAAAAGTCTTTCCTAGACAAACTCTTTACCTGTCATCTTGCTGTCATTGTTAAATGCCATTGAGTTGGTTCCAACTCAGAATGACCCTATATAATGTTTTTGATGAACAGCTGGTGGGTTTGAACCCCAACCTTGTGCTAAGCAGTCCAGTACTTATCCTAAGTGCCACATCAGGACTCTTGTCTTCTTAGCCAAGATCTAATTAAAACTAAAACTCATCATATGTCTTCAGAACATCAACACAATTGTTTGGAAAGTGAAAAGATGACTGATTTAGATGGTAGATTAGGGTAAAAATTGTCACCAAGTATACTGATTGATTTTCCCCATGCAGAATTGATTGAATTTGCGTTTTAGCATTGAGTATGCATAACCTTGACTTTAGTAAATAGATAACTGGTTATAAAGAGGGACTCCTCCTTCGAAAATCCTGTCATAAACATGATATATGAAAGGCCTTGGTCAAAGTATAGTACTTGAAAAAACTTGGACAAATAAAATAATAGATTACAGTCGTTACACTTGGCAGTTCACAAAGCGTCTTCACATCTGTTATTTTATCTGATCCTTTCAATAACCTTAAAATGCTAAAATGAGTGTAGGGGCAGATTCATTCCTCAGCAAAAGTGAATTGAACCACCTACAACATGCCAGATGCTGTTTTAGGCTCTGTGGGTTTCATAGTGAACAAAACAGACATCAATTCCTGTCTGTGGAGATTCCATGGAAAGGGGAAGTATGTAGAAATAATTGAATACTTACATGAAGAAGAATAAAGCAAGGAAAGGGAATAGGGAATTTCAGAGAAGTTCTACTTTTAAAAAACATATGGTGTTGTTGCTGTTGTTGTTAAGTGCTGTGAAGTTGGTTCTGACTCATATCGATCCTATTAGGGTTTCCAAGAAGCAGCTGGTTGGTTTGTGCCGCTGACCCTTTGGTGAGCAATCCAGTGCTTATTCTACATTGCCACATTAATAGTAAACAGGCAGGTATTATTATCCCTGTCTCTACTACAACAAATAGATTTTTCAGAGAAATACATGATTTGCTCCAGGGGTCACACTAGCAAGTAGCAGAATCAAAAAAAATATCTGAATCTCCTAAATATAAATCCTTCATCCCTTTACCTCTTTTGTGATAATCATAAATATTTGGGAATTCAGTGCCTATTTCTCTGTTTCCTCCATTCCCCAGCCAAAGTTCTGCTATTCATCATTCCATTTCTCAGTTTTGCAAAGGACACTTCTGTTACACTTCCGTTTTATTTTTGAGAATTAACAACAACATGGCTTAGTTGTCTCAAGAACCCTGGTAGTGTAATTGGTTATGAGTTCAGCTGCAGACTGCAAGGTCAGCAGTTCGAATCTATCAGCAGTTCCTCTGGAGAAAAATATGAGCCTTTCTACTCCCATAAGGATTTACAGCTTCAGAAACCCTCTACAGAGTCACTATGAGTCAGAACCGACTTCACAGCACTAAACAACCACTACCACCATGTCTTAGTTATCTAGGGCTGCTGTAACAAAAATACCGCAAGTGGGTGACTGTAGCAAACAGAATTTTATTTTCTCACAGTTTAAGAGGCAAGGCATCAACATTTAGAGATCCAGTTCTAGAGGTATCGCTCTCTGTTCATCTCTGAAGGAAGGTCCTTTTATCTTCAGCTTCTGCTTTCAGGTTCCTTGGAGATCTTGTGGCTTGACATTTATCTCCTCCATCTTTGCTTGCTTGCTTGTCCTAATCTGCTCTTTTTATACCTTGTAAAGAGAGTGACTCAGAACACATCCTACACTAATCCTGTCTCATTAACATGATAAAGAATAACCATTCCCAAACGGAATTGCCACAGGCACAGAGGTTCGGATTTACAATGCCTATTTTGGGGAGACACAATTCAATCCATAGCATTCCACCCTTTGGCCCCAAAATTCATGCCATTGTCACATGCAAAATGCATTCACCCCATCATATATTCCAAAAAGTCTTAAATAAACCCCAAGTCCAAAAATGTCATGTTCTAAACCAAATATGGATAAGACTTCAGGCATATTCCAACCTGGGGCAAAATTCCTCTTAATTTGTATAATGGTAAAATAGAAACAAAGTAGACATTTCCAAGTGCAATTAAAATTGGAAGGAAAGAAAGGCTAATTGATGCCAAGCAAGTCCAAAATTAAGTGGAACAATTTCCATTAGCTCTCTTAGCTCTTGAGTCTTGAAAATAATCCTCAGTTCTTTGTGACCAGTCTAGGTAGTATCCCTGCCTTCCAGGCTCTGGATGTTGGTCATACCCTCTGGTTTCTGGGTGGAGGGTCCTCAGCCCTGGGCTTCAGCTTCTTCCTCCCTTTAGGCTCACTGGAATGACAATTTTCCTTTCTCAGCATTGGACTGCCCCATTCTCTTAATTTATCTGAGTGGCAGTCCCACCCCATCAGTCCCAGCAGGCTTCATTCTTCTGCCCCTTGGACCTGGTAGCCCTTTTGCTTTGGGTGGTGACCTCATGCCCCAATCAGTTCCAACTCTTAGTGGCCCTTTATAGGGTTTCCAGGAGCAACTGGTTGGTTTGAACCACTGACCTTGTGATCGAGTGCTTATCCTGTAGCACCACACCAGGACCTGGCACACCTGAATGGCAGTCCTACAATCTGGAACCAAATCAGTGAAGATCCAACTTTGAGAAGGCCCTGCTTACTGTGATCCTTCCAACAGGTCTGCTGAGCTCCGAGCTGCTACAAGGATAGCCCTTTTCTTTTCTTGGAGGATACGAAGACTTAGCTCCTTTGGCCTGTAGAATTCCAACAGGGAATGTTCTTTCCTTTCGTTCTTTCTCTTTCCCCTCCAGTCTAAACTGATGGGTGTTCTGCTGCAGTAGTTGGTTAGATCCATCAGTCACAGGCTTAATCTCTTTAGCAAATGATTGTATAGCCATATCCTTGGTGAATATTTTAGGATACCTGTCCTTAGTTTCAACAACAGAATTTACCAAATCTTTAAGGTTCTGTTTTCATTTTGCAGAGTTCATTTTAAAGATCATCTCTTTGCTCTCACATTTTACTGTAAGTGGCAAGGACAACCATACATCTGCTTTAAGATCTTGCCTAGAAGTATCATCAACCAGATATCCAAGTTCATTACTTACAAGTTATTCCTTCCACCAAACATTTTAACAGAATTCAGACAAGTTCTTTGCCACTGCATAAAAAGCATTGCCCTTCCTCCATTGTCCAATCACATATTCATTATTTTATTTTAAAGCCTCACCAGAAGCACATTTTTTTCGTTAATAAAAGTAATTGCTTAATATTTTGTTAGTTGTACTCTCATATCATAGGAATTGCAAAATCTGCCAGGACCTGAATCAATACAATTAAACTGTGTTGAAATCCTAAATTGTTGGATTGAAATTAACTAACAGAATATCAGTATTTTTTTAAAAAAATTTTTATATAATAACAAATAGCTGTGTTTTTGTGAATATGTGACTGTCTTTGAGTTTAAGAAAAATTCACATGTTGTAAATAATAAAGATTAAACTATGTGTTCATGCATAATATGTATTTGTGTACATATGTGGAAGCAATGTACTTTTTGGATTACTGCAAATGGAAGTAAAATATTTGGCTGAATACAGTTGTGTTTTTGTCACAGTGTTTCACAGCACAAAAGACAGTATATAGGTATTTATCTGGTTCCTTTGTTCTTCATTTGTTCCCTTTAATGACAGAGTGTGGTAAAAAGTGTACCTTTCT